GAAAATTATGTGTCAGAGCAGAGAAAATGAAGCTGCAGGAAAGAGGTCAATGTCTCTTGAGTGAGTGAGAGAAGACAGGACGCAGGGCACAGGTGAGAGGTTGTCAGAAACATGGTTGGAGAATTTACTCACAGCAACCTGGCAGAAGGGGGATTTGTGCAGCTTGCAGCCTATCGTGTTAATTATATCTGTAGACCTCCGGGGCAGAAAACTGTGGAAACACTTTGCTGATATTTCTTATTTTTTTAACTCATTAGAGAAGCAAGGTTATTTGCTTCATATAAGGGCATTGGGACAGGTGTCAAACATTTGAGGACAGAGGGAAGCACTAAATTAATATGATAATGGCAAATTATCATATAGAAGCTGAAAGAATTTCAAACTGCCCACTCTTCACTAACAGAGTTTTGTGTTGTTAGATGTGGCTGCTGACAAAAATTAATCTCAGTTTACAAGGCAACAAGAAAGGAGTTCGTGAAATCTAAATTTAATTTCCATCACCTGAAACTAATAATTAAACTAAGTTTGAAATTTGTGCATTTTAATCTCTGACCATGTTTGCTTGAAAATTGAAAGACACACCCAAGCAAGATTTAATTAATAAGGAGTGTGAAATACTGGTGTCTGGGCCTAGTGATGTATAAAGCAAAAATAACACAGAACTGAGGCAAATGTTTGCATAAATGCAAGAATACATAGTTGTTATTTGTTTCATTTGTGAGCTCTGGTGGCAGTAGACTCTTTCAGATTCATCAGTCAAATGAATAATGTATCATCTCAAGACTTTGGCTCCTTTGGAAGTACAACTGTGGAGCAAGCAATGAATGGTACAGTCACAATATGGTGTATCAGGTTGAATTCAATTCTCGCATTCAATGTACAGAAAAATAAGAAATAGGGCATTTTAAGAAAATGAGAAATATATAGCTGAGTGCTGAATTGTATAGAGTGTGATAAATTGGCTGGGTAGTTTAGGTGGAGAAATGAGGGGTAAGGAATATTCATGTATGTAACAAAATTTTCTTAACCAAGTTTTATACAGGAAAATAGCTAAATATTTGGGAAATCTAGGATTAACCAGTGATAAAACAGACCTGATTCCTATACTTGAGATGTTCAAAATCTAGTAGAGAGAGAAAATACTACCATAAAATGTAGCAGGTAGTATATGTAAAACTAGTAAGTGATAAGAGGATATTTAAGGCATGCACAAAGTTGGAGAACAGAAAGAAAGGAGTAGTACAATTTGGCTGAGAGGCTGAGAAAGAGTTCACAGATGTCGGGAGATTTGAAATACTTATTAAAAGTACAGAGCTACTTGTAAAGCAGAACAAAATGAGCAGAGGGCAGTGAGAAGGGAAAGGATTACACAATTATTGAAACAGCTGGCCTTTTAAGAATCTGTGACTGAAATATGTGTGGATGACAAGATGCAGCAATTGTACTCCTTGTTACAAAGCAGGCTGAAACTTCTTTCACACAAAAACCTTAGACATGAAGATTTATGGCAGCTTTAGTTATCAGTGCTGAAATTTGGAAGCTATCAAGATGTCCTTCAGTGGGTAAGTTAATATACTGTGGTACATCCAGACAAAGGAATATTTCTGAGTGCTAAAAACAACTGGGTTATCCAGCCATGAAAATACATGGAGAGAATTTAAATGTATATAACTGAGGGAAAAAATGTCAATTTGAAAAATCTATATACTCTATGTTTCCCACTATATGATTTTCTGGAGAAGGCAAAATTATGAAACCAATAAAAAGATCAGTGGGTACCAGGGTCAGAGTGGAGAGACATAAAAGCACAGAGCACAGAAGATTTTTTTTGTGTGTGTGTATAGAGAAAAATATCCTGTATGGCACTGTAAAGATGAATACATGCCATTATACATTTCTTCAAACTCATAAAACACCAAGAGTCAACACACAGTCAAATGATACACTTTAGGTGATTGTGATGTGTTCATGTAGGTTTATCAGTTATAACAAGTGCATCTCCTGGTGGAGTTTGTTGACAGTGGAGAATGCTAAGCTTGCATAGGGCAGAGGGCATATGGCCAATCTCTCTACCTTCCTCTCAGTTTTGCTGTGAAGCTAAAACTGCTCTAACACATAATGCTTTTTAAAAATTTGGCCTGAAAAAAGTATCAAATGAATTTCCAAAACAAAATATACTACAGAAATACTCTGATAACGTGGCTGATGTTGAGGTTAAAACTTTCAAACAACTGTACACAGAAGAACCTCCAGCAATCTTTAATGAGCACTTAGGCTAAGTAATCAGTTCAGGAACGTGCAGTTTTCTAAACATAGTCTTACAACATGGCCATAAAATCTTAACTACTGCTCATTCTATATATTTGTCTATGACTGGGATTAATTTATATTTTATTATCGCTCATTGAGGTGTCTCTGAGGTTTTTTATTACCATCCATAAAATTCAGGGTGATACAGTTTACTATACTCTTTTATTTATAGATATGTATTATCACAGTTCCCATTTGAAGTACTAGCAAACAGTATTAAAAAACTTAGTAAGTATATATTTGTAACACTACCTTACTTAAACATGGGCATTGCCTTTGGTAAAGATTGCACATAATTTTTATGATATCCTTGAACTCATGTTTAGTCATAGAATAGTTTCTACTTGATACAAATATTATTTGAGCTGAGGTGAAATTTAGAGCGATCTAATGTATGGTTTCTGAACAAAATAACTCTGGAGTTAGACTTCGAGTTATTTTACAATAAACTGCTGTTGTGTCTGACAGACATCCTCTTCAAGGACACTCCTCTTCCATATTCTGTACATGGAGCCTGTTCCAAAACAACTGCACAATCTTTTTTTAAATTTATTCTTGTAACGTCATCTGAGGACATGCTTACTGATTTTAGAGAGAGAGGAGGGGAGGGAGGAAGAGAGTGAGAGAAACATCGATGTGAGGGAGAAACATCTTGGTGCCCCACCAGGGAACTGAGCCAGCAACATTTCGCCATGCAGGACAAAGCCCAATCCTGAGCCACAGTGGCCAGGGCTTCCCAAGAGAATTTAATGTGCATCTACACAAAAACATCCACAGTCATAGTCATAGCATCTTTTCTCATGTTAGGCAAAAAGTGGGAAAAAAGCAAATGTCTCTTCAAGTTAGGAATAGATAAATAAAATGTGGTATATCTATACAATGGAATATTTTTTTGTTAAAAAGAAAAATGAATTAATGATGCATGCCACAACATGGGTAAACTTGGAAAAACATTATGCTAAATGAAATAAGCCAATCACAAAGGACTGCACACTATATGCTTTTTTATACGAAATGCCAATAATAAGTAAATGTGTTGCTACAGACTAAATGTTTATATCCTCTCAAAATGCATTTGTAGAAACTTATCCCCCACTTGATAATATTAGGAAGCAAAGACTTTGGGAGATGATTAGGGATTAAGGGAGGAGGCCTTGTGGATGGAATCAGTGCTCTTGTTGTCAAGACCCCAGCTCTCCAGGACCTTGATAACACCTGCAGAAGGGTGTCTTCACAGGCGAAGACAACTGTAGAAGGCAGGCAAGGACAAAACACAAAGTGGGCCCTCAACCAGACACCGAATGTGTCAGCATCTTGATCTTGGCGTTCTTAGCGTCCAGAACTGTGAGAAATAAGTGGTTGTCATTCAAAACCCCCAGATGATGTTATGCAACCTGAACAGACTACAACATCTAGAGTAGTGATTTTCAACCGGTGAGCTGGGCACACTGGTGTGCTGCAAGATTTTTTAAAACACAGAATACCTGAAAATTTAGTCAGGGATACTGACCTCTTTTCCCTTAGATTGTCAAATGAAAAAAAAAAATGACAACAGCCAATACAGCAATAGCCATGCATTTTGAATGAATCAAAATTACGCCTTTTTTGTCAGATTGGCAAAATATATAACATGCATATTTTTGGTGTGTCATAAAATTTTAGTAATTAGTTTACATGTGCTTTGAGATGAAAACAGGTTGAAAATTGCTGGTCTAGAGAAAGCTGTTGATCTAAATTATTGACTTCCTGGGACAGGCACATGCAGGGGGCAACCCTTGGAGGGCAAAAGAAAGAGAGAATATGATTTCATGCCACAGAGCACTGTTTTCTACTGCGAGTGTTCCTGACTTCCAACACATGGATAGTTCTTTCATGAGTACCTAGAAATCTTTTCTAAATGTATACGTAATTTCTGTAAACAATTCTGTGTTTAGGGTAATATAGACTTTGGTTTATCACTTAATATGTAAAGAAAGACTTCATCATTACAGCAATGGATCAATTTTCTTTGTTTTTTTTCTAATTTTACTTGACCACAGTCATATATCACTTTTGAAAGTCACAGGCAATTATTGATATCAATGTTTTTTTTTCTTGAACTTGGATGTTAACCACGGTGCATTATTTGCAGGGAAAGAGCATGAGTTTCCCTCAGTGACATCTCGTGAACTTGCCTAAAGAGGGGTTAGACCTGCCTGTGGAAATTCCAAGCATAATTCTTTTACTGCAAGTTTTCTTAATGTTAATCAAAGCTTGAGGAGGGGTGTTGCACTGAGAAAATTATTCAAGAAGAAGGATAAGTTTTCATTTCTCTTCCCTCTAAACTGAAGTGTGTGCAGTACCATTTTTCTGGCCCCTTGGTGACTTCAGGTTAAGTGAGGCGTAAGTGCCTGGCAGAGGAAGTGCTGGGATGAGAACTAGATACTTGGACTCAGGCATGCGGACTAAGTGTCCACGGTGCCCATTTTTCACCCCTATGCCAGGAGTGAGAGTAAAGGGAAAGGTAAACAATTTATCCACTGTATCTGACAATGAGTAAAATTGTATCTGATACATTCTGTGCACTCTCTTAGGTCCTACCATGAAAAGTAAAACTGGTAAGATACTTGTTTATGAGAAAATCTCAGTATAAGTCTTCTTGTATAAAAAGTGACATATTTTCCTATAATACATAAAGTCAGGTCATTTACCATTTTCTGAAGCAGCCACTGTGATGTTGTACCAGGGAGTTTCTTCTCTATCAAGAACCTTCGTAGTCTTAATAGACCCAGTGTTGGCATCGATATTGAAAAATCTGTCATCTTCATCATTGTAGTCAATGAAATATCTAGGTAAGAAAATAAAAAAATATTTTATATTTGATATTACAATAAAAATATAAAACTCGAGCAAAGGAAATATTAAATTAAATGTATTCAATTATTTAAATATATTCAGTATCTATATTTGGTACTTAAGATTTGACTAGAAACTTTGTATTTCCATAAAACTGATATCAATTTTTTTATCTCAGTTTGTCCTTAATGTTATGCCTAATTATTAATTTAAAAATACCTACAAAATTCCATAAATAGTAGACAGTAAAAATACAATGATTAATAAGAGAGAGACAAAACAATGGTATCTGGGAAGTCTACAGTACACTGGAAGAAAAAAATAACGCATAATGAAATTTCTTGTGGCTACATGTACAAACATTTTAGGATAGAAGGTGATGTCTGATCAATTTATATTAGAATTTCATTATAGCTGAGGTTTGAAAATAAATATAAAATGAACAAAATACTTCAATTAATTACCATTGTACATCCATCTCCTAGAAACCGTTTTTAGTCAAAGAATGAGAAATGAATTAAATGGGAGGTAGGTTGCATTACTGGCCACCCATTTCTCCTCTCTGATTCATGTAATTTGGCAGGTTTCTCACACTAGGAGTGGCCTCCAGCTTACTGTGGCAATAGAATGATTCGGAAGCAATGGTGTCGATACCATATTTGAATTTAGATTTCATGAGACTTTGTATGTTTCCTCTTATGCTCTGCCAGCGCCATAAGAAGTGCGCTTTATCTATTAGTCCCAGAAGGAAGATGAGAGGCACATGGCCAGAGCTGTTCCAGTTCAGGATTCCAGCACGGGGTAGAAGTACCGAGTAAATCAGCAGATGCGTGATTGAAAGCACTAGAGATAAACAGCCAGCAAACAAAAGCCAGCCTAGTACAGCGGATCCTCAACTGAGCTGACACAAAGATGCACACATATTGGAGATATATATATATCTCCAATATATATATATATAAAATGTTTTATATATATATAATGTTTTTTAACCCCTGGGTTTTGTGAATTTTATATCATCTAACAATAGTTCATTACAATAAATATGAATAAATAATATCGTAAAAAATAATATGTTCTAGAAATGTTTCAAACACTTTCTAGGACTATTTAAGGACAAAAGAGTTCTCTTCTCTCTTTTAATCTCTAATACTTCCCTTTTCATTGGTCTCACCTTAAGTAACATTTGATCTAGACCTGAAAAGTGAACTATTATGTGAAAAGTGCCAAAGGAAGAAAATTTGAATATAGAAAATCACAGTGCAAAGATCCAACTTAAAGAAAAGGCCCAATTTGCTTTAAAAACAAATGTATGTTTCAATGTATCTAGAAGAGGGAGTGAGGCTGATGGACAGATCGTAGTACAAGAAAGCCTACAGCATATGGTAAGGAGTTTTTACTTTTTTAAAGAGCAATGGGAACAACTTTAAACAAATAGAATAATAATCTGTTTTATGTTCTGGAAATAATCCCAGTGACAACTTTTATTGTTTGGATTGTTGAAATGTCAAAAACAATTCTGAAAGGAAATTATACCATTTTGGGCAAAGGTGGGAAAAATAAGGAAATGGAAACAAATGCACAAAATAAGGCTACACATCAGATACATCCCATAGAACTTCTTGTTGGAATGACAAGGGTAAAGAGTGGAAATTACAAATAACTCAGTCTGTGTGTGTTTTGGCTACTATGTATTAGTAAGTCCATTTACTGAACTGGATAAAGAGGCAGAAAAAAAACTTTTTTGGGAGAAAATAATTTGGGAGAAATCAATCATTTTGACACATTATACCTTAGATATCAATTAGATAAGCATGTGCAATAAAAACCAGATAATTAGATTTGAGTGTGAATTCCAAATGTGCTCTCTGAATAGAAAATATATATTTGAGATATATCAGCCTAAATTTAAGGTAATGTGGACTGTATAGTCCCATTCGGGAGAGAAGTGTTAAGAAGAAAGGGGTGAAAGATTTGAACACTATAGAACTAAGCTCCTGAGTCTAACATGCTACTAAACAGACAGAAGCAGCTGAAGGAGGAGAAAACCTAGAAGACTGAAGGGCAGAGAGGGCAAGAAAGAAGTGAGGCGAGTGGGCAGCTACAGTGAACTCTGGAGAGTGAGGTTAGTAAGGGGTGGGCATGATTGGTTAGCTGGAGAAGGGTATTTTCGATAAAACATGAAGGGTGGGATCACACAGTGAATTCAAGAGTATATTGAATGTGAACACATGAAGCCCATAAACCATAACACTAGGGTGGACATCACTACCTGAAATAGAGATTAGAAAAATGATGCCTTATGTCATCAGAGAAGTGAATTCAACCAAATAATTTTTTTTCTGTTAAGAAACATATCAAAAACTAATTTTTCTGAAGGAAATGATCCTTTGGAATGAATAAAAAATCCAAACAGATGAGTAGAATTGGGTTCCAGAAGACAAATATAAGGATTTTCATTGAAAGTAATAGAGATACGTCTCCCATCTTAGCATGGGGGATTCTCAGAAGTCGGGTAAACAGACTGAAAAGGTAATTGTGGTGATGGCAATTCCACAAAATTCATCTTACTTCCTGGAACAGAGTATAATTGAAATACAATCCCTTGTCTCTCACAGCCATAATGTGTTAACGAGATATATGGAACAGATTGCTAAGGTGTGAAACCTTGTAGCAACCTGGCAGAAGATGTTAAAATTACCAGGCAGATTGAGACTACAGAGCACCCCCCTAAAATCTAGGAGCTCATTTAGTGAAAACAATATGAAGAATAGACAGAATATATCACTTGTATCTGTGTGATCCAAACAAGAAATTGACTGTTGTGCATTGATTGCCCTATAGCAACTACATGTGAATTGAAGGAAGTTCAGCGTGAAAAAGCAGTGGAAACAAGAATGTTAAGTATAGAGCAAATTTGTTTCAGAGAAGAAACAAAAGATTCAGACACTACAGAATACTGGCAAGGAGAAATGTCATTGGGCTTTCTGGAACCTTAAGCCAAGGCACACTAACACTAATTTACTTTCTTTGATTTGAGTTCATATCACAAAAAAAATCTTTGTCCTAAAACCTCTAACATAGAGGCCCAAAGTTAAACTAATGAGCTAAACAGCTTAAGATGTGTGCAAAGTTTGGTTAAATGAAAAAAGATGGCATCCTTTAAAATGTAATCCATTGGCAATCGGGTTATTATATAAGGTTGTGATAAAGTAGGTCGGTGATAATAATAAATAGTACATAATAAATAAATAAATAATAGTACAAGAATAAATTCTGTGTTTAGTGTGCTCATAGATGTAAACCTACTTTTGTGCCCTCTTTTATTATCTACAGCTCGTTACTATTGGCCTGTCTTCCAGAAAATTTCCCTTTAGAGTACAGCAGTTTCTGCGTCTGAAAGTTGGACCTGAAATGCAAACTTATTGTTCAATCTTAAACTTTCCTGCAATGACTATTAGCAAAACTCAGATTGTGTCTATCAATATACCCCTATGAAATATGGCAGAATATTTTAGAAATATTTCTCATTTTAGAAATCTGATCACTTCAGAACTGTCAGTCTGAAAGAAAATGGGCATTTCTCTTGTTTGTAAGCTAAATTAAGAACATAAACATGCATAGTTCTTTTTTTTATCAGAGTAATCCCTTTTAGACATTTTACATGTAGCTTTCTAATGTAAATGCTGGTATTAGTGCTTAAATGCTTTTAGAATAAACAAATATTATTTGAATTTAAAAATAAAACCTGTGTTTAAGTATTTAAAAACAGTAAGTATAATGCTACCTATATCTCCTCAAACTCATGTTATTTAATTCTTAATTTTCTTCGCAACCAAACACCATTGAAAAGTCTACAACATAAGGGCTCGATATCAGCTATGTTTGGATCCAGAGTCTTACTCATGGAGCTGCAACTGAATTTCAACTCAAGGAGAACTAAACAGTTCTGCTTAACTACTCTTGGATTTATGCCTAGCAATAGAAATAAAAACTCAGACAAAGGTAAAACAGAAATGTTAGAAAAAAAAGAAACAATTCAAACTGTATTAGGAGATTAAATGTAGAAAAAATTAATGCTGACTTTAAAATTAAGTGACATAGCTCCATTAAGCTGTTTGTCAAACAATAAAAAATAGATAACAATATTCTCAGTAGGTAACTTCCAAATAATTTTCATAATAACATCTGTTTATTTCTCTTTACAGACCTTTCAAAAATAAACACACCTTAATAATTTATGAGTTGATATGTACATATTTTTAATCTGCCTTGCAAATTACATATGAATTTGATATTTTGAAAATATAATGTCTAGTAATCTCTTGCCTAGTTGATGTAGGATCTAAATTTGGATTAATGGTAAAATGTGAAAGATTAGAGTTTTGAGAAAAGTTTATATGCTAGTCATTGCTTTTGAAAATAAGCCAGTATCAATCAAAGCTAGAGTATATACAAGTGGAGAAGATGTTTAAATAATTCTTCAAGTTCTACTTTCCTCCTTAATACAGACCATACTGGGGCAACGTGTGGGACTGGGAGGGAACATATACACACCAGGGAGTTATTTACATAAGCTCACATTACGGAGCTCTTACAACGGACTGCACAGCCCTGTAAGTGTTTTCTAAATATTAGTTCCTTACATACTAAAAATGACTGTGAGGTCCTTACTATTTATAGCCCATTTTACAGAGCAGAAAACTGAGGCAGGGGGATAGAGAAGGTTATCCAACATCAAGGAGCTCATTAGTGCAAAAAAATAAAATATAATCTAGGCTTATTGTGTAATATTTATAAGCTTTTTTAAAGTAGATAATATTTGAGGATTTATATATTCATTCAAGGAATATTTATTTTGACAGAGTACAAAGAAGGAAAAATATTGAAAAGAAAGAAAAGAGCAAAACCTGAGAATTATTTAGATACAGATTTAGTTATGGAAACAAGTAAGCAAAATAAGAAAATAAAGTATTTGTAAACTAATGTGAT